CCCCCAAAACCCCAAAACCCCAAAACCCCAAAACCCCTTAAAAAAGTCTTTGGATGGAAAAATATGCTTTCAACATAAAATTTAACTTACTTTTGATGTATTTTGGTATCAAACCCTCATAAAAAGTTTGGTACTAGCCAATACCACTCGGTATGACTGACAAAGCTGAACTAGCCTGGCTTACTTACCAGGTGCTTTCTTTACGTATTTCTTATAAATCAAACTTCTGTCGATCACTGGCTTTTTATGAGCTTTCCCTCGAGAAATCGGCAGAAAGTTTGCCATCACTGGAGAGTTTCCTGAAGTGCGAGTCTGATTTCTATCTTTAGATGTTTTCAACTTTTTCTTTGAACTTGCTCTTCCTTTTCGGATCTTGCAGTTCGGGCTGTTCTTGTAAAGCATTTCTTTGTTAAACGTTGCATAATCGTCGTCAGGGTAAGCCCAGGTCTGGCTTGGGTCTAGGTTCAACCCAGTAGTGTTTCTGTTGTCCTGAGTCCACTGCTTCTCAACCTGGTTGTTTGAGTAGCTCGTATTGGTTGGATATGAGATCTTGTGGCCGAGTCTCTTGCCCTTGCCAGCAGGGACCATCAGCCTACGCTCGAGCACCTTGGCTTTGAGCATTGACTTTGGCGGTTTCTTGATCGGGTACTTTGGAGAGTACTCGAAAAACTTCTTTTTACTCTGGTCTCTAGACTTAAGTTTATTTATCATTCCGTTTGTTGTTGAAAGAGAGACCTGCCTGCGCTTGCGAGCTGATGTTGAGAATGGAGTTTGTCTGCTCTTCTGTGAAGCCGCCTTTCTTGTAGTTGTCACTTGCATACTTCGAGACCAGCTCGCTCTGGTTGTCAGCATTATTTAAGCGACAGAAACTGCAGCATCATGTTCTCAATGTCTCTGCGAGGTGATTTGGTCTTCTTGGCTTTTCTCTTAACTGATGTAGGATTAGAATAACTTTCAGATTTCTTATTTACGTACTTTGATATGGCCTCTTACATTGGAAGAAGACTTCTGGCTTTTCTTCCGTTTGGAAGGCTTCTTCTTGCCCCAGCCTTTCTTCAGAAGCACTATACACGGTTACCGTTGAGCTTACTCTGCTGGGCATTAGCTTTCAGATTCTTCGACTTCATTGTTGAAGGGGCTGTTCAGATCGTAAAGTAAGGCCATTTATTTGAACCAGCTTTTGCCTTTGTTCTTGGGCTTACTCCTGACTTTGATCTTTCCATCACCTCTTCTCTCGGTGCTTTTAGACGAAAACACTTTGCCTCGATGACAGAAGTAATCATTGGGTTCTTCAGAAAAGCAGCCTTTTCTGGGGAAGTTCGGCTTGCTGTTCACTTTTATAGCATATTGCTGCCTCCTGTGTCGATGTAGACGGCTACTCTGTCTGACTTGTTTGCGCTGTCAAAAGTGCCGCTGAGATTTAAATTCCTCTTGTTGTCTTTGGATTTGGCATGACCACGCCTGGGCTTTTTCTTGTCATTCATTTTCGTCATTGTAAAGGCCCTTAGAGGAGAAACATGGCCTGAGTTAGGAAAGTAGTTCTTCTCAACTGATTTCTGATAGGCTCCTTTCTTGACAACCTTCCCCGATTTCTTAGCACTAGTAACAGCTTTCTTGGTTTGAGAGGAGACTCTGTAGTTGGCCAAATTATTTTGAAGAATCATCATAGATGATTTCGCTATTACCTCGGAATGATTGGTCGTAGGCTTGGGTCTTTCGGATAGCGCTCTGGTAGTTATCGAACATGGTAAAGCCCTTCATAATCTGGTTGGTCTGGTCTCCCTGATACAGTGCCACTTTGTTAGTGTTGCTATTAGGAATTTTATCGTTGATGTTGTAAGATTCGACTACAATGTTGTCAATTAGCGAGCTCGAGCTTGTGTTCGACTTGTTGTCGTTGGTGTCACCAGCAGTAAAGTTGAAATTCATTATATTTTATTAGTTTCTGGACGGCGTTGCCTTTTTCTCTTATTAGCTTTGACTCCTTTCTTGTTGTTCACAAGGATTGGTTTGTCTAGGTTTTCTATACTTTGTGATGCAGCCTACCTATGGCTCCACTGCTGACATCTTCCCGTCTGACAGGACTGTTATGGCACACTCTCTTTCTAAAGTTATTAAGGTATTTACTTTGAACTTCTACTTCTCAAGTCTTGAGTGTTATCTTGGTCTTCAATATATTTCATGCACTCATAAGTATCCTGTGAAAGCATTGGCTCTGGCTGAGGAAGGTCATATGTATACGATTCATCAAGCAGTGCATTATCTTGTTGTTTACCGTTGATTGCTTTTTCATACTTAGTCATGTTATTTAATCAAAACTTTTTCAGTAAAGGTGTAGATGGGCTGTTGAAGTCTCAAGTCATAACTCTTTGTCTATATTGTCTGTCAAATATAAATTGTTATAATTTACCTTCTTAGCTTTATCTCTCTTAGGTTGCCCTTCTTTTTCTTCTTTTTCATCTAATTTCTCTTCTTCTAAAGTTCTTTTGAAGACATATTCCTTGTTGATCTTGCTCTGAGCAAATTTTGTTTGTATTTCTTTATTTAAACTCCACGAGCTCAAGCTCTACCTTCTCGTTCATGTATCTTTGTTCATATTCCTTAGTAAAGAACTTCTGACCATCAGTCACTGTGTAGATTGGGTAAAGCTTTGTGGTTGCAACTATTATAAACATCCAATTTATCTTTTAATCAACTTACTTTCCTTTCGTTTTCTCCTGAACATTATATTTTTATTGGTCTCTTCCACCCCCTTCTGATTTTCAGTCAACAATTGAAAAGACGAAATTCATTTGCTACCTTCCACTTCCCTATATTAAACTCAAAAACTTCTCCTAAAATCCTATTTATACTTAAAATTTACAAAATCCTACGCACTACTCTAATACCACCTCCAAACCCTTCTAAACTACCTTTAAACTTTAAAAATGGCCTTAAAACTTACTTTTGAGACATATTAACAATTATTTATTCAATTTTTAAATATTTATATGGGGTTTTGGGGTTTTGGGGTTTTGGGGATCTATCAACCAAGCAGATTT